AACTCGCCATACCGGTGATCTCCGCAGATACGAAAACTCTGGCCTTTGAGAAATGTGAGAGATCCGAAGGTGTCTAAAGACCTTCGAGATGCGGAGGGAGGTTTAAAAAAAAAAAAAAAAAAAAAAATATACGTACAACAAATAACAGTAAATTTTTTTTTCATTAAAGTTAATTTTACTCATGTGTTGCTACGCAGTACATGGAGTGACATTAACTCTGACAAAAAAAATTTACTATTATTTTTTGTCATCTGTTCAATAATATATATATATATGATTTTAGCAATGTAACTAATTATCATAAACAAGATTGTTTTGTTTTTAAAAATATGATACTCTTTATATTGTGAATTCAACAATAAATATTTTCAAATCAAGGTAAAGTCAAAATGAAAAATCAAAGTCAAACAAAATCAAGATGAAAATCAAAGCAAAAATCAAAGTAAAAATCAAAGCAAAAGTCAAAGCAAAAAAATCAAATGAAAGTTAAAGCGAAAAATCAAACGAATTCAAAAAGAAAATCAAAATGAAAGTCAAAGTGAAAATCAAAGTAAAGTCAAAACAGAAATCAAAGTAATCAAACTTTTATTATAGTTAAGAATAACCACTGGCAATCAAGTTTCGAATCTACATATAAGCCAGCAAAAAATCTGACTACCATTTTTCTAGGCAATGCTATGTAAGCTAAAGAACTTTCACGATCTGTTATACAAATATTTGTTATTTGACTATTTGTATCTTAATATACACTTAGGCATTGCTTCTTTATAAAAACAAATCATAAAAATTTTCTTTAATGTGTGATAGCGATATAATAGTTATTTTATTTTAGCATAACACGGCAACTATCATCAACATCGCATAGCTACCTTATTAGTGAATACAATACAGTCAATCCTTCTTGAATGCATAGCTGAGGGGCTATCTCTATATGAAAGAGTTAAGAATCTTGCTTTTAGAGAGGCATTGCATTTAGAAAGTTAAAAGTCTATAAGTATCATATAAGTTGGAACTAAGTAGAGCCATGCATTTAGAGAGGTTTTTAATAGACTATGCGTTTAGTGAGACATATTTAGGGAGGGCAAACTATATTTAATAGGAGGTTACCAGGTATTATTAGGCCTGTATAGGCTTTTTTATTAGGCCCAAACTTGGTCCGGTATTTTAACGAGCCTGGCCCAAGCCCGGCCCAAATAATAGCGGATTTAAAAATATGAGCCTGAACTGGGCCCAAGCCTGGCCTGATCTGCAAATTTCCGGGTTTAGCCTGGCCCATTCTACCTCCTATATTCTTTAATATAAATATATTTAAATGATTCAAATAAATTAGAATTGATTCGAATATATCAGATCTTTTCAAGAAATTCTGCACATATCAAGGTTTAGAGTGCTGAATGAATTGTTGTGCTATGAATATTGAATGCCGCAACTCCAGTTGGTGCAAGCACAATTACAGGTAATTTCTCAGCACCAGTATCCTTTATCATCTCTTGAAGTTTTTGCCAAATTGCATTAATTAGATATAACTTATCTATTTCTACAGTTCTCATAATAATGATTCTGAGTAGCTCAATCTGGCTACTTGTAGATTCGTTATAATGTGATACAATTCTTTTAAATATACTCTTTTGTATCTTGTTTAAGGTTTGATAATCTATAGGAATCAAATTTATATTATTAATAGCTTCTCTGTCTAATATTTGTTGTACAAAAGTATCAGCATTATTTAAATTAAAATTTGGATAGTGTTGTTTAACATCTCCAATCCAGTCATAATTTTGATCAGTATTACTTAAACTCAAGTTTGAAGAACAATCAATAGTTGTATTTGAACCTATTTCAGCTAATATCATCCAGTCTTCTTTTATCTTTTCTTCAAATTCCTCATTATCAGTTTCTTGAAGTTCATCATTATTAGCAAATTCTTCAACATTATCAACAGATAGGCCAGACAAGTTAGTAAGTTCATTTTCTATTTCTGCAAGATGGCTGTTAAAAAGAACTGACTATAAGATAGTATTATGCTAAGTTAGTTGCTCTAAGCTTCAGTGGCAAACATGTAGTAAAACTTTTACTTGACAGAATTCTTCCCACTAAGGACCATTTCTTTGTGGTGATGATTTTGGCCAAATATGAACAATATTTTTGCGATTACATTTTCTCCATTCACTATTACAAAATCTATATCCCAAGAAAAGCTAAAGAGTAAAAGATTTTTAAAAGCTATAGAGCAGTTTCAGTACTTTTGCAATAGTGATTGCTCTGTTTGCCCTATATCATTTGTTATAAAACTATTATTTCTACTACTATGAAGCTATCATGGCATACTTGTGTTGAGATTTAAAATAACAAAACTGCGACTATAATGATAAAGTGAAATACTTAGCAGAAGATAATATGTTTCTTGTGCAGATATGTTACATTCTGCAATAGTATAGAGTAATAGCCGCTAGAAAACACTAAGAGCAGAATCAGACAGACTACTTTCACAAAGAATTTTGTTTAAAATTTCTGAATAAGTAGCAGACTAAGATTCTAATTTACTTACATATTTAGCTATGTACTGTAATACCGCATGGATGCTTAAAATTGGTTTTAAATCCACATTTGCACATCAATTTTGAAGTTGAAGATGGTTATGAGGATTAATATAAGGATCATTTCTTGCCGTAATAAGCTCAGGTTGGCTATTGTTGACATATATAAAAGTATAGTCTACAACATCTTTAGCATATCCAAATCAACAATACTGCTGATTATTTTTATTTACATGAAAACAATATAAAGGACTACAACGCATATACTGTTGTAGTTTGTTAATAAGCTCTATATAATCTTACAAGTTATCGCTTAAATCTTTATTAGTTTTTTGACAAAGATGACGCTTAGGTACAGATGCACTGAGCTCTAGATTAATCGTACTAATGAATTAAAATATTGAACTACTATAGCACTTCTTTCTTCAGTCTCGTTTGTTTTTTCCAGATTAAATATAGGTGAATCTCTTATTTTTCTAATAGTATGCATGTGCACACTGTCTTGATGCTGTCATTCATATCAGTACCACCAATTCTCTAAATTCCACTTAGAAATCAAGACTTTTTTAAAAAATATTTTAAAGCACTTTTCAAAAAACTAAGCAGCAATATAGAGATTCTCTATTAAATCTTGTTGCTAATATTTATTTTTTCTTGTTTTGATTCTCTATCTAATAAGTTTTCACCATATAGCATAAGCTTATAAAGCTCTAGCCAGTATATGTCTGTGGTGCTAAAGATGAAAAAAATTATTTTATTAGATTGTAGCTGTTTGATCATAACTGACAATTCAAAATAGCATTTTTTTTCAAAATTGCTGTAT